GACGGCTACCGCGACGTGCGGCTCGAGTCCTTGCATGAGGGCGTCGCCACGACGAGGCTGCCTGGCTCGATCGCGCGCGCCGAGGTGCGCGCGCGGCACAGCCAGCGAGAAGGCCGGTTCGGATGGCACGGGGACGAGCTTTGGACGGCGGACGGGCTCCGCGCGACGTTTCGCGTCTTCTTCGTCCGCTGGGGGTTGGAGGTCGACCTCGACTCGCGGGGGATGCGGCGGAGCGAGGTCGAGATCAGCCGAGATCAGCCCCGAGATCAGACTTGAGATAGCGTTCGAGGGGGATGCGGCGGAGCGAGGTCGAGCCTCCGCCACGCCCTCGCGCTATCTCGGCGCATCTCGGCTCGGCTCGGCTCGGCTCGGCGCATCTCCGCCTCCCCTCCCTCCCTTTCCCAGGTCGACCTCCGCCACGCCGTCGCGCACGCCGCCGTGCAGTCGCAGCGGTCGGCGTCGGACGGCTCGTTTGGCTGGTCCGACTCGACACTGTGGGTGGACGAGGGTCTGCGCGCGCGCTTCGCCGTGACGCTGCAGCGCGACGCCCTGCCCGGCTCGCGCCCGCCGCTCGAACTGCGGTACCGGATGGTTGCAGACGGGCCAGTGAAGGTGCTGCAGGTGATGCCGGCGCCGTCCGCCGCCGCCTCCGGGGAGGTGCCCTCCCTGCCCGTCCTGGCGTCGGAAGAGGACGACGGCAAGCTGCGGCTGAGCGTGCACGTGTCGCTCGCGTGCCTCGGCGTGTCGCTGATTGCGGACGGGTGCGAGGAGCTCCTCTACTTGAGCCTCGTCGACCCCGTGGTAAGCTACCGCGCGTCGTCGGGCCGCGACTTTCTGTCGGCGCAGGTGCGGCACCTGCAGGTGGACAACCAGCTGCAGGCCGCCTCCTTCCCCGTGCTGCTCCAGCCCTCCTTCTCCGCCGAGGAGGCGCAGCAGGCGGTGAGGCCGCACTCGCTCGAGCTGCTCGTGCAGCGCCGCATCGGCGCCGCGCAGGTGCCGTCCCACGACACCGCCAGAGAGACCGCCCGAGACAGCCCGAGACCGCCCGAGATGGCGCGAGACGGCGAGAGACCGCCCGAGACGGCGCGAGACGGCGCGAGACGGCGCGAGAGACCGCCTGAGATGGCGCGAGACGGCGCGAGATGGCGCGAGATGGCGCGAGATGGCGCGAGATGGCGCGAGACGGCGACGCGAGCTGGCGCGAGACGGCTGGTGGCCGCCCTCGCCAGGTCCTGTACTACGAGACTGTCTCGCTCCGGCTGCAGACGCTCGAGCTGATGGTGGACACGGTGCTGGTGCGCACCCTCTTCCTCTTCGTCCTCTCCACCTACCTCGACCTTGCAAAGATGGCGACGGCGGTGGTCGAGGCGACGACGCGCGGCCAGCCGCGCCGGGCCGACGCGGTGGTGCCGCCCAAGGTGTACCTGCGCTGGCTCAACCTGCAGCCGCTCCGGCTCCACCTCAGCTGCCGCTCCGTCGCGGGCGGGCGACGCCGCGAGGCCGTGCGTCGAGACGAGGCAGCCGATCTGACCCCGAGCAAGCACCCGAGAGCGTAGGCGGGCGCGGCTTCGAGGCGGTGCTCGAGAACGCGCCGGCCAGCGCCGTGGGAGTGCTCAACTCGGTGAGCGCCGTGCTGTCAAACATCGACTCGGCGCCGCTGCAGCTCAAGGCGCTCGTCCTCGACAACACCTTCGCGCCCGTCGGCACGCTGGCGCAGGCCATCTGCGACTCGTACCGCGAGCAGCTGCTGCAGCAGCTGTACAAGCTCCTCCTCTCGGTCGAGCTGCTCGGCAACCCGCGCGGCCTCTTCCAGCACCTGGCCACCGGCGTGACGGACGCGTTTTACGAGCCGCTCAACGGGATCATGCGCGGGCCCGACGAGTTCGCGCAGGGCGTGCTGCGCGGCGGCAGCTCGCCGGAGCTGCGAACGGCGTCTCTTCACACCTGCAGCCGTGAACAGGCGTGCTGCGCGGCGGCAGCTCGCTCGCCAACAACCTGACCTACGGGCTCTCGGACTCGGTCGGGAAGTTCACCGGCACGCTGGGCAAGGGGCTCGCAGAGCTGTCGATGGAGCGAGACGCGACAGGGAGGGCCTCTGCACGGCGTGCGCGTCACCGCCCTCCCGCTCTTCCCGTGTAGGACCGAGACTATCTCGACCGGAGGGCGTCGTCGGCGCAGGCGCCGAGATCGCCCGAGATCGCCCCGAGATCGCCCCGGGATCGCCCCGGGATCGCCCCGGGATCGCCCCGGGGCGACGCCCCAAGCTCACCCGAGCCTCGGCGGCCTCGTCCGCCTGGCCCGCAGGTGCAGCAGCAGGAGGGACCGCGCAACATCGGGGAGGGGCTGCTGCAGACGGCCGAGTCTGTCTCTGGCGGGCTGCGCCAGCGCGCGGCGACTGCGAAGACGGGCGGGCGCGCCGAGAGATCGCGAGGGCTGTGTGAGCAGGCGGGCTGCTCAAGGGCGTGGCGGGCGTGATCCAGAAGCCGCTGCAGGGCGCGCAGAGAGGCGGCCTCTCGCCGGAGCTGTGAGCAGCGTCTCTCCACACCTGCAGCTGTGAACAGGCGCGCAGAGAGGCGGCTTCGGGGGCTTTTTCAAGGGCGTGGCGCAGGGCGCCGTCGGGCTCGTCGTCAAGCCGGCGGTCGGAGTCGCGGACGGCATCACCGCCGCCGCCGAGGGCCTCAAGAGCCAGACGACGGTGCTGCGCGGCCTGACTCGCCGCCGCCGCCAGCCGCGCACGTTTGGGCTGTGGGGCGAGCTGCGCCTCCTCTTCTCGGGCGCCTAGGAACCTTCTAGGAACCTGTAGGAACCTGCTAGGCGAGCTGCGCCTCTTCTCAAACGCCGACGCGCGCATCCAGCGCGCCCTGTACGACGCGGTGACGGGGCGCGGCGTCCGCTCCCTCGCGTCGGGGCGCTTCTGCAGCCAGGCGCCGCGGGCGCGCAAGGGTGTGCGGCGGCGCCGCCGCCTCTTCACGCTGCGGCTGTGAGGTAGGTGCCTTGCGCGAGCCCGCCGCAGGCGGAGATCTCGCTCGTCGTCACGACAGGGCACGCCATCCTGCTCTCGGTCAGCGGGGAGGGCGGCGCGGGCAGCAGCAGCAGTGGGGGCGGAGGAGGAGGCGCCCCCGCGACCGCGCTCGTCTGGTCGGAGCCGCTCAGCCAGATTGCCGTGTGGGAGTGCGTGGAGCGGTCCCATGAGCTGGCGCTGCACTTGCGGTCGGGCGAGGTGCGGCGCGCGCGCTTCCCGTCGGCGGCGGCGCGCGCGAAGGCGGTGCGCCTCATCGAGCAGGCGGTCAAGCTGGACGAGTCGAGCACCAGTCGGGCGCCGCGGCGCTGACGCGGCTGCTGCTGCATGTCGGGAACCAGCAGGTACACTGGCGGGCCCCACATGGTACTGTGGGATCGGATCGATCTTTGTTACTTTGTACCGGTACTGTTATATGATAGTAATAGAGCAGTTTGGTCGGAGGGCGCCCGGGTCGCCCCGGAGCGGCCCCGCGCGGGGAGGTGGGTGGAGGGCGGGCACCACGCCATCGGGCAGGCCGCGCGGGGACGCAGCCGGGGCCAGCGCGCGGCGCTAGAAGGCCGTGCGCAAACTTGTTGGACCTGGACCTGGACCTGGACCTGGGTCGGCGAGTTTTGGTCGGTTCGAAAAGCGGAGCGCGCAGTCCGTTGTGGCTTGGGCGTTGGCAGGTGGCGCGGTGTGCCGCCGTCCACTCGGCTGGATCGCAGCATGCTGCCTCTGCGCGTCCTGGGGATGTACCTTTGTCGCGCGCCGGAGACGACTCGACGCCGCTGAGATCGGAGATCAAGCTCTGACAGGCCGCACGTCGCTCCTTTGACGCCGACGTGACTCACCCGTGCAGATCACGACGAGTTGGGTCGCTCTCGTGGTAGCCAGATGACCTCTCATACTAGGAGCATCGGCCATGGCCGCAGGGAGCGCGGGGGAAGGCGCTGGAAGCAACACGGAGCTCCGTTGGAGACGTTTTCAAGATTAGCGGTGTCAGCGCCGGGCGACGACGGCTTACCGCCTCCCGGTCCCCCTCGGCACACCTCCGCTGCTTAGTGTTTGACGACTCGAACCCGTGAAGCTTCCCCGTGTGCGGGTTACCCCGCACACGGGTCAGCCTGCCAGCCACGTACCCACGCAAGCGTGGTCCGCGCGCATGGCATACAGGCGTTCGCCAGACAGCGCCAGTTGCTCCTAGTAAAGTAGCAGCAGGAGTGATGTCGAGAGGGGGGGAGGGTTTCATTGTATCCGCGTTCTCTCAGGTTTATCTATCTACTCTTGCCATCTTCTATTAGGACCTGTATTCCTTTTTTCCTAGGGTTCTTCGATTACTTTTTCACCGTGTGTTTCTCTTCCCCTTATTCCCTTCTCATTCAGACCTTTGACCTTCTGCTGTTCATCCTCCTTCTTCCTCCCTCTCCTTGTCTTCTCCCCCCTCCCCTTCTCTCTCTCTCTCTCTCTCTCTCTCTCTCTCTCTCTCTCTCTCTCTCTCTCTCTCTCTCTCTCTCTTCTCTCTAATAATAATAATAATAATAATAATAATATAGTAATAATAATAATAATAATAATATAGTAACAATATAATATAGTAACAATAATAATAATAATAATAATAATAAGAGTAATAAGAGTAATAAGAGTAATAAGAGTAATAAGCGTAATAAGCGTAATAAGAGGTAGATAAGATCTTTTTACGTTCAGCAAATAGTTTTACGAAACAAACAATGAATTACGTCGAGAATTACGTAGAGGGGAGAGCGAGGCCACCCCCGCTCGCCCGGGGGAGGGTCGGAAAATTGCTGCTACTGCTACTAGCCGCCACGTGGCCACCCCCGCTCGCCCGGGCGAGGCTCGGAAAGTTACTCCTACTACTACTAGCTGACCACGTGGCCACCCCCGCTCGCGCCCGGGGGAGGCTCGGAAAGTTACTCCTACTGCTACTAGCTGCCACGTGGCCACCCCCCGCTCGCCCGGGGGAAGCTCGGAAGGATGCTCCTACTACTACTAGCTGCCACGTGGCCACCCCCGCTCGCCCGGGGGAGGCTCGGGA